TGAGATCTCTGACTAATCTCGACGAAATAGCCATGCGTTTGTGCGGTTGAATTTTCGAGTAATCGCGTGTTCACCTTCGCAACTATTGCACAAAGGGACCATATATCCTGGGACTTGATTTTCCTTTTGGAATTATTTGTCATTTCCTTATCAATCTCTTTGTCAATCTCTTTGTTAGTTTAATTGTTTCAAGGAATTTTTGCTATTTTCATTTATAATTTTCTTTGCAACAAAGGAAAAGGGATTTTTATGAAAAATCAAATATGTTAAACACTATGAAGATAATATTTCGAGGATGTTCGGAAGGTGTGGACAAAAATGCAAAGTGGCAACGTGCCTTTCATAGTCATTCTTTATGGCTTCTGGAATCCATTTAGTTTGCTATGAGCGACACGTGTGTGCTCCTTAAATATTAATGAATCTCCATGGCTTCTTATAAAAGGTGTACAGTGAAATAGTGATTTTGTCTTGTAGGGGAAGAAGAAGAAGTAGGAAAAAAAAACGTTAATCGCTCTCTGCAAAAAAGGGTTCGAAGAAACCACTTGTTTGAATAAGTTCAGACTAAGATTACATATTGAGTTGTTGTGCATTTTAAAATAGTGTTACCCGATACGAATCTGGAAGCCATTCTAATTAGCATTTCATGCTGACCCTTTTTCCTTTTTTGCTGCCTCTCAACTACTAGGGCGTAGTATAATAATGAATCACGAGTTCCTTTTTAACAATGGTGATATTTCAATATGGCAATTTTAAAAATATAATCCTTTCTTTTGAGGAGACTTAAAACATATGGGTGTGTATCGTTTACAATAGTGGAGATCATTCATGACAAATCTATATACAAACGACAACGTAGATCTTGTTTTTCTTCCACTAATGTTTAATTGTTTCAACTATTAGTTAATTAATTCAACTACTAGTTAATTATTTCAGTGATTATGAGTCTCATCTAATAAGTTTGTATAGGAAATAAGGAATAAATTATTTTTGACGTTTTAGTGAAAAATAATATCTAAATTCTTATTGAGGCAGGTGGAATTTATCGAAGCACAAAGCTCAGGTGTTGGGTTACTTTAGCTTGTGGTTGTGTCGATATTATCCGTTTTTTTCTAAAGCGACATCCACGTGCTGGTACGATATACTCGAATTTCAGATCATCCAATACAGAAGCGAAATATGATACTCAACTATAGACAGGGATACATAAAGATCTTATCTATGTAAAAGATATTTAATTATGCGAAAGTCAGGTGAGGTTTTGATGCGGAAATAACTCTGTGCCCCTCTGCCTTGTAGAGAAAGAAACTAAATACTTTACTGAAAAAAGCTATATTGATAAAGTAAAAAAAAAGTAGCTTTTCACTCTCTTCCCTGTATCATATTTTACTTGGCTTGTTTATTATGTCATCATTATAAATTCCTAAAAAGTCGTTTCAATGAATAAAAAATGTAATATTTTGTTGTGTTTCTTTAGAAGAACACACATATGCTCTTGTCGTCCCCCTTTTTGCAAATTTTTCTAGGGCAGATGCCAACATCAGTGAGAGTGAGGGACTACTCCCCTTTTGCATTTGATATTCACCTCAAATCATGCATTTGTAATCGAACAAGCGACTCGATCTACTTTCGTCAATGTTAATCTCGTCACCACGAGAGCGAGTAACAAGTAAGCAAAGAACCACACATGGCACTATAATTCAGGAACTGGTCAGGAAGAATAGGATGAATTTTAATCCCATCACCAATCACTCGGCTCTTCTTCTTGTCTAAACTGGTTGGCGTCCGAGTTCGTTCAGAACCAACTGGTTCGGCTTTTAAAAATGCATGGTAAAATATCTTTGCTATTTCTTTATTGAATCTTGGGGGATCATTTATGTCGATCCAACAGGGATAATTTACTGTACTGTATATTATTTGTAGGTTGTAAATAGATGATAATTAGTGGTTGTAAATAGATTACTGTTTTGATGATAGAGAGGGTTTTAATGTACGTTTTCATTCTTTTCAGGGGGTGTTTATTCTGAGTGTCTATCCATCATCGAGGGTCAAAATTTATAGGTTGTCTTTAATGACTGTGTTGGAAAAAGAAACATTAGTTAAATTTTTTTAACATATATTTAATTAATTATTAAAAATAATGCATTTATAGAAGAATTTTAGTATAAAAAAACTAAACGGAAAAGGATACAGAATTGAAATAAAATAAAGCAACTTTACTGCAATTTGTTCAGACTCCTCTACCTCTAAATCGAAATTAACATGATTTTTATTTTATCGACAGTAAGGAGTAATAAAAGATTGACCTTTTTGTCTGTCTGACTCTATAAAACGCTTGACGACTTTCCGTTTGCACATCTAATCCCCATCTTGGATAGGCACTCGACATAAAAGTTAAACTCCACAGAAATCAATGTCCCTTCTTGAAGTGAGAGCGAGGGAGAGGGAAGACATATCGGTTACTAATGCAACTAACACAAAGGCTTTAAAGTACCAAGTCGATTCTAAAGGAGAAACTAGTGTGACAAGATGGATGACCAAAGTCCTGCCCCACTATTCTTTCTTGTCTCCAACTTCGATTTATCCCCACTCTCCTCTCACTCTTGTTTCTTGCCCACTGTTCTCACTAACAGAACGAACTAATTAACCTACACTCGACAATTAGGAACAGAATTTGCAACATTAATTGAATGTTCAATATTAATTGAAGAATATAAATTTTTGAAGATTTTTCCCTCTTTAGGATTGACTTTTGTCAAAGTGGGCAAAAATCTTGACTATTCTTCAACAGGCGTCAAAGTGGGGATTGCTTTGCTTTCACACACAGGAAATAATCCATCGCACCCTTACAAACGTCTGTCACGCTATGTCAAGCTCCTCAGGCATGTTCCAAGTATAATTCACGCATTCTCGGTCTCTCTTCGGAACTGTCACATAGGATCAACATTCTCTTCAGACACCTGGTGCCCTATTCGTTTCTCTTCCCCCTTTTTGTTTGTCTTCAAATCCTTAACGATAGTGCCGCTTGGATAACAGATCATCGACACATTGTCGGAAATTAACTTGACAGCGAGAGCTCAACAGTCAAGTGGAATGGGTGAGATAGAGAGGAGAACGTATAAATTAAAGCAAAGAGCTGTAAACGATCCTTTAAATGTTCAAAGGCGGACAACTAAACACGAGAATGTCTAACTGTCGTGTGACCTAAGTTTGATGCAAGCAGGTGCCACAAACTATCTACTCGTTCCAAACTCTAGTTTATATCATCAGAGTTAATACAAAAATTTAATTTTCTTTTTCCAGACAAAATTTTGATTTTTCTCTGACTTCAAAGAATATTCTGATTCACTCTAAAAAAGTTCTATTACATTTATTTATACGAATTTCTGTACCAAACCTGGTAGTTTTCTTTTGTTAAAAAATTCTTGTATTTCACAAAGTCGATTTTTCATTGTTAGGTGTAAATAATCGAGGGTAATTATTTATATATAAATACCTTTTGCGGGGTGTGTGTATGTGTCTGCGGCGAAGAAAGGGAGTTTTCATTTACAACTAAATGACTGATGCGTTATGACTCTGGACGTTTCCATGATATATTACTTGATTTTAACGCTACCACCTCTTTGCTTTTGTTACACCACCAAACTCTCGTGCCTATTCACGAGAGGAAAGGGGGATGTGATGCCCTCTGCAAATGTTCTTTGAAGGCACGCGTTTCACAAGCACCTTGGATAGTTGCAAACACACAAGCACATACATATATATATATATATACGAGAGTGACCACCGTTGCGGGCACGATATTTCCACTCGGGCATTTGAATATCGGTTAGCTGCGGTGCATCACCACGAGATTAACTCCATTATACTTATAGACAATGGAGAACCGCTTATATACTCATAAATGGCTTCGAATCTCCTCTTTCCTTGAAATTGCTCACTCAAGCATTTCTGATGAGAGGTTGTACTTTTTTTCTCTCTCCTCTTTCTCTCTCCCCATTCAAAGACTCGGTCTCTCCCAAAGGGGGATTTAAAAAAGAAAAAACAGGAATTTTCTATTGTTGACTTTTTTTTTATAAATTGATGTTATATTTTTGTCTCTATCGGTGAGGAATTACGACTGCCAGGAATTACATTGGCTGTGTATAAGTCATCAGTTGGAAAAATATACAATAAAAGAATGTGATTCAAATACAATTGCCACCAATTGTTTGAAAAGAGGGAAAATAAATTCGATTTGTGTTTTGTGAACGAGATAAAGAAGAAAGAAGGATTTTGATAGTAATGGTGTACTTTATTCGAACTTTTGTTCATTCAAAAAGAACCCTCATGAGAGAAAAAGCCATTACTGACTTCTGCTACAAGGAAACATGATATACTTTTTGGATGTATATATATAGAGAGAAAAGTGTTCCGCGATACTATACCCCTATTTTACGTTGACAGTTTTGGCGGGTTCTAGATAGATTAGATCAATTTAGTTCTGGTCAGTGGCAATAAAAGGACAAATTTCTATCGACCCTTAATTGTATTTAATTACTAGGCGCTGAGTGTTTTCGATTACGCGAATGAAACAGTATAGCTCTCAGCGGTTTTCGTATAATATCGGTTATTTTGTCAATAGATGTTTTAAAATAATGATTATTAATTCACTTTGAACGATCATTTACATTTATAATTAGAAATTCTTTAAAGTTTGTTTTCTTTTCAATTTTTCTTTTTTTAATTTCCTTCTTTAATTTCTTTTTTTAATTTCCTTCTTTAATTTATTTTTTAATTTCCTTTTTTGATTTCTTTTTTAATTTCCTTTTTTGATTTCTTTTTTTAATTTTCTTTTTTAATTTCTTTTTTTAATTTTTTTTTAATTTGTTTTTATAAATTGTTCTTTCTATAACATACATTATATTCTTCCCCTGGTCAATTTTACTATAATTATTTTTTCCTTATTTCCTTATTGTGATGTATTGAAAATAATAAATTGTTATTCATTTTGTTTGTTTCAGGTCAGTCTGGATACAAAATCAATTTATATTTGCATTTTTTGGTGAGTGAATATTACACAAAAGTTTTTAATGAAATTTTATTTTCAATTCTATTATTTCACAACAAACGAAGCTCTTTCTTTGTTTTCATTTGATATATATTTTTGTGGGAATATATACATATCTGTATATACGTTATATGTTTGTGTGTAATCGAATCATAACATATTTTGGTCTTTTAAATTTTTTAAAATTGCATATCCGGCAAAAAATACGTTAGCTTTAAATCTATATATAGCTGGATAGATTTTTAATAAATGGGTGAAAAAAAAAGTTTCGTTTACTGTGAAAATAATACCGTAATCTATATATCTACACGTTTGTTCTTTTTTTTACCTTCTTTCGCGCTTAAATTTATTAATATTCCACAAATTTTCCAACTGGAAGGATTTTATTTTTTTATTTAATATTTTTTTGATTTTGGTACAGTTAGGAAGGATAATTTTGCTGTAAATTTTTATTTTATTTATAATTGTGAAACATTCTGCTTCTAAATCGGTAATTTTTAACTGATTCAAATTTTAAGGGTTTTAAGTAAAAATCTAATTTTATACAAATTTTATTTGGCACAAATAAACTTTGGTTAGGCGAAAATAAACTTTTTATTCGAGCAAATAAAATTTGTTTCTAACAAACAAATTTCTATTTGCCTGGAAGACGAATGTTTTCTCTGGGCGTGGTTTAAAGAAAAACTAATTTTTGACGATTTTTGTACGGTAGAATTTCGTCTTATATAAATAGATAAAGGTTCAAAAATTATTCCTTTCGTTTGAAAACAATTTTCCGGGTTGTTGAAAATTTTATCAGAGTTTAATAGAATTAGCTGCGCGGTAGGATGTAGGAAAATGTTAAATTTAACGGTAACTACAGTTTCTTGGATGTGTAAATTTTTCACAATGTCCTGCTCTCAAATTGAACAGGTAACGTCATTAATTAATCACTTTGAGAATGTCTTTTTAGGTTCAGCGTCCTTGTTTTGCAAAAAACATCCTAGAATCAAGTTTGCTGCCTGATTTATTTTTGCTGCTTTTTAAAATGAGTATCGGAGGTCATTGCAAGCTGTGGCTTTCGTCTTTGAACTTGCGGCAGGAATTAGGAAAAAAAATCTTTACCTGGAAGAGCTACAAATTATACTGCATTAGCGAAAATTTTAGTTTGTTCAATAAATACTTTCGCTATTCCAGAGAAAATTATCGCTGTTCATGGTGAAAATTTTTTTGTGTAGAATTGGAAACGGGTTTATTAATGACTGTGTTGGAAAAAATGTTACATTTATAATTCGATTATTAACGAGGCACTATCAAATCGTTTTTTTGTTTTTGGTTCAGGGCTCAAACTAGGTCCGTACCTAAAACCTGTTAAGTCCGTAAATTTTTAAATATTTTCACTAGTTCAAGACCTGAAAATACTGGAAGAAATTAAATTTTTAGAATTCATATAAAAATTCTAAATTTTCGTGTCCGAAGGAGAATTATTCTTTTCGTTTGAAAGCAATTTCCAGGATAGTTTAAAATTTGATGAGAGTTTAATAAAATTAGATGCGTTAGGGTATAGTGTTAAAGTTAATGGTATCTAGAGTATCTTGGATGTGTAAATTTTTGACGATGTCCTGCTCTCGAATTGTATAGGTTAGGTCGTCGAACTATACATACATACATATAGAGAGAAGATACGTGTAGTCGAAGGGATGTTTCGCTCGAGGCAATTCGATGGTTGGACGGCCCAACTCTGTATAATAGATGCGTGCTCGAGCTTTGCAAGCTGCACCGTTAGTTAAGTCTCTTCGTGATAGAGGGTGGAGGATATACATGTACCAAGTATCGTGGATAGGGTTGTATGCTGTCTGAGGGGAAAAGGGGTTGGAATGCAAGAGGGCCGAGTAAACTATAGAGTAGAGAAAGAGATAGAGAGAGAGTGAGGGGTTCTCTCACTTATGTGCCATATACAGGAACGTTTCCGAGAGTTTCTCCACCAGCGCCGTGCCGTTTCCCTGTGGAATATTAATATGACGCGAAATATTATAAGCCGCGACAGCCAACGCCGTGGGAATACTAAATATTATCCTGTAGGACCCCAGGAGACAAAATCTTCTATACTGTATACACAGAAGCATTACAGACGGTTCTTGTGGTCTTGCAAATACAACTTTCCCCATTGGTAACGAATTTAACAAATAGAGAAGAAGAAGATGTAGGCGCGCAGTGAAACGAATTCTGAAAAGCGGTTTTGCTTTAACGATACGGAAAGAGGTCGAGACGCATAAGATAATGAACCCTCCGCGAATCGGATGGAAACGTAATACAAAGCGAGTGGCATTTTCTTCATTTGAAAGTCGAAGTGGTGTCTCGCTAATGAAGCAAAGTCTGTGGAAATACCTTAAAATTTAGTCTCGACAAAAGAAAAATGTCGATATAAAGCGAAAGGGACATTATTAATTAATGATCCAGTTTTCTGTAAATCGATGTCAAAGTCTGTTAGTTATTAATGAAGATGACAGTTTATGTTGGACAGTAAACTAGAAGCGATTAAAGTCATAGTGTAACTATCTTCACCTTTGCGGGAAATGTAGAGGTCAAGTTTACTTACGGTCGGAGTGTCGGAGTGTCGGACATAAAGCTTACCTTGAGAAATCGTTCTGGATAAGGCACAGTTCGTAAACAGAACTCGATGCTTAGACGCTTTTATTGGCTAATACATTGTTACAACGCGGTGCTTAACAGGTCGTTTTTTTAATAGCAGATAAATTGTTCAGCAGATCTCTCTCTCTCTCCCTTCAAAGGTTAGTATGTCTATAAGAGAGTGAAGATAAACTTCCAGAATTTGATATTCTCTTACACATAGATTTTATTTTGTGAAACATTTAATTCAAGAATTGAAATTAAAACAAAATTTTGAATAGGATAGGAATTTGTAGAAATTTTAGAAATTGTAGGAATTGTATAAGAAAGAGTGGATTTTATGTAAAGTAAGGATAAGAAGTTTTAAACATTGATAGCTGTTGAAGAGTAGTGAGGTCTTGAGAGTTTGAGAGAGGTTTTGAAGAGGAAGATCGACAGCGTTGCTGGCAAACTCAAATGAGAAGGTCCGGTCGTTAGCTCTGGCGTTATCGTAAAATTAATTACGCCTCGAAACTGTCTTAATTAAAAATGTGTCCGCCACCCGTCACCTCCGTTCGACCTTCGCAATTCTCTCCTACACCTTCTTCAAAAACCCTCCTCCTCCTTCTACTTCTAGTCCCTCGGTGATTTCTCTTCTCTCTTCTCCTTCATTCGCCACCCTCGACACAAACTTCAAGTGCCGTATTCCCTCTTAGTGAAAACCCCGGGTGTATAATATTACGTTTTATTCTCAGGAAAATATTTGACAGATGTGGTTTTTCTCGTGTACAATAAAAGGGAATTAGACAAGTCTCCCCTTCTAAGCAAAGTGTGTGATTACATCTATTCGCCATTCAATGCATCCTTTGCTTTTGTTTCCTCTAATCGATATAATAGATTGTCCTTGCTGTTTGATTAAATTCCATCCACTTTGGGAAATTAATCATCGAATATGTCGTGCATGGAATACGGAAGTGTGTTTCGGCGAAAAATATTGAAAATTATTGAAAATGTTAATGTTTTCCAACAATTTTCTATTTTTAAGAAAAATTTTTTCTAGAAATCAGAAAAGTCAGGGAAAAACGTTAAATTTTTGTGGCAACCCTGCAGTAGAAATAAATAGAAAAAGTACATAGATAATGGAAAGAAGAAAATTTTTCATTGTGGATAAGAATTAAGTTCTTCTGTACTTGGTTATATTCTCACACTCCTAGTTTACATTTTCCATGGAGGAGGAGGAGGAGGGTGGTACGCTCGACACCCTTATTACCTTCTACTCGCAAGCATAAGCGTGCACCATGAATATTATGTCATTATACAATCTCGCGAAGCATGCGACGTTCGACCAACTCCTCTACTTTCTTGTGTTGGTGTATATACATGTTTGCTTCTTGTTCGAACTTGTGGGAAACTTGCGTATAATTCCAACACGTTACCTGCCCTGTAACAAGTATTACCGACGAGAAGTTGCGCGTAATATTACCCCTAGACTTAAGTTTTTGGATGAGAGAGAGAGAGAGAGAAAGGGATGAAAATGTGTCCCACACGGAAAAAGAACTTCTTATGTTTCTAACGATCCAGAGAACAATTATTATGTCGCGACTCTCTTTTTAAAAAAAATATATATACTGCGCACGCGAGAGAATAGAATGACGCCTTTTTTGTCGAGTTTAGTACAGCATCGCCTGACTCGGCCACTTATCTTCATGTACTTACGGCACTTTTGCGGAAAATTATTCCACCATTAGCTTGCATGCCTGCCTCGATTTCAGAATTATTTTCTCTTCACGTGAATCGCAATTCATGCCTTAATCGTTAATTTTTATATTGTATATATAGTTGATTGAACGAATTTGTGTTAGTTGATATTGATCAGTTTTTTTGCTGTGAAAGTTTCTTATATTCCTTCTCGTTTCTCGTTGTTTCATTGAAGAAGGCTTATTTTGTTCTAGTGGATTGTAGAAGATTTGACATTATGATGACTATAATGTTAGACTTGGTATGCAATGTTCTATTATGCAATTATAAAGCTACGGTATGCTATTTATCACTTTTGAGATTTTTTCGATGATTGTGGGAAGAAGATACGGAACAGAAATGCGGTTGTAAAAAAAACCCTGGAAACTTTTTTTAACGAAACATTTGTGATGGATAATTCAAAGTTGACAAATGCTCTTTATTCCCTGTGCTCGAATTTAATTTTCGTTCATTACAACGCATTGCGATTAAATTTAAAGACATTCCCCATTTTCTCGGTGCTGTAATAGTAGATGGTTATAATGATATACACTTAAGTTTGTTGGTGTTGCGCGCACGTTTAGATGATGATAATTGTTGGTTTAGTCACTTGGAACTAACTGCTTACTAAGACGACAAGCGTTGAAATATCGAACACTTGAACACAG